CGTGCTATATTTAATCTTTAAATTATGTGATGTTTGTAATAGCACAGACTAAAAACAGTGCAAGTGATCGAATCCTACTTGCAACTATATGCAATCCAAAAGTGCATATGTGCATGAATGTTAATAAATATACGTGTCATATAAATATGGTAAAAGTACGAATGTGAATACTAGATAGTTAAATGTGAACCAAATAAATTAAAATAAGCAGCTTGCTATTTTCGTATTTGAGCTCTCCCAGCACTCTAGCCTCTCGCAGGATAGCATCACGGTCCCGAAAGTTCAGGAGCTTGAAAATGAAAGTGCGCGGGGGGGCACCCGGGGGGCCTCGGATAGAAGGCATGCGATGGGCCCGCTCAACTGCGAAGAAGGCTGTAAGCTGGGCCTTAGGGAGCAGAGATCGAATCAGAGACTCAGCAAAGGTAAGTGGGTCCTGTCCCTCCATACCCTCCGGCAGACCCAACACCCGGAGATTACTGCGCCGGTTGCGGTTCTCCGCGTCCACCGCCCGGGACTCCAGTGCCTTAACTTTAGTCTGCAGGATGCGTAGAGTCGCCGTGTGGGCCCCGACAACATCCTCCACCTCGCCCACTCTACCTTCCACCGCCGCCACCCGGTCCCGAAAGGCGTCCAAGTCTCTCCGGAGCAGACCGACATCCGACTGCAGGTGGTCAATCTTGGCCGTCAGCGCACTCTGGCACCCCGAGATCGCCGCTATCACCGCTGTGAATTGGGCAGTCCCCGACAAGGCCTCCTCCGGAGCTTCCGGCTGGGCCGCCATTCTGGCGCGCGGCTGTTTCAGTCCGCGGGCCGGCTGAGACTGAGGGGTAGTAGGGCGGCTCGTAGATGACCTCCGGCGCCCCCGAGACATACCCCCGGGATCAGGGCTTGATCTGGGTGTGATCCACCAACCACTTGAGCGCTCCACGGGGCCTAGGAAAACAGGATAGTAGGATAGGTGGCGGAGCACAGTTACTGCACGTGTGCTCCGGTCGCCATCTTGGACACGCCCCCACTATGGGATATCTTTATTTTCTCTCCTTATGAATACAATGTCTTGTCACCGATAGAGCTGAGATACAGACAGTAGCAAACCTCTCCCCTCGAAAGGGAAACTAGCATGTGCAGACCTGAGTTTAAAGTAGTATTATCTATCTACTAGCTTGGAGAAGTGAGAAGCAGGAAGGAGGGGAGTGTCTTGCCCTGTTGTTTGGAGATGCACCAAGCTTCCTAGCACACACAAGGGTGGCTCCATAGGACCCTGCAAGGGAAAGGAGCCACCCTAAAACAGGATATCAGGGCCAGTGCTCAGGGGACCAACTGATTCTGAAAGAAGCTAAAATGTTTATACATCAAGGAGCAGCATCCATTGTAAGTCATTTAATCAGTATTTTAAATAGCTTAAACATCCTTTGACTTTAATATCACTTTAACCCTTTTAATTACAACAGCCAAACAGGACACTCTTGAATGCGGGGAGGCATTTCAAAACGTCCTTTCCCTGCTCCCGCTTGTGCGCACCGCCCCATGCGCGCACAAGCGGGAAACTGTCAGCATTTTAAACAGCTGGTGATGGCTGTTTACATACAAGCATTCACTTGTACACATGCAAGTGTGCGGTCCCCCCTCTGCTGCCACCTTTGCAGTCCCCTGTGCAGGCCTGGGACCAGCACAGCGGCTCTCTGAACTAAGATGATAGGTAGATCAATACACGTCCTCCTGCTGAACTCCCCTCCAATCTCTGAATAGCGTAGATGGAGGAACCTGTTGCGCTTTTTCCATCTGACCATAGAAAGTCTGCTGATAATCTATAGGTGTATGGCCAGCTTCAGTCTATTTTGCAGCATAGTGTAAGCTAATTAATACATTCAGTATTTTATTACCAGAGAAAGATGTGGGAGACATAAATTAGTCACTAATCATACTGATGTGGGTGGCCATAAAACACTAAATACCCATCATGAAATGTTAGATTGGTTTATAAAATTCCTTCCTACATTTTCTGTAAGAGGAAATTTTATAACCTAATCTAGAAATATCATACAATAAATAAAATATCACAAAGAATCCTCATTTAGCTTTCATTAGATATTTCCTTACACTTTTGCCTCCACCCTCTTAAGTATTTGTAGAACAACCCCAACTCACAAATCACTATATTTAGCTAGATCTCGCACCAAGGCCTGTGGCACTGCTTATATTCCTCAGAGTGCTACCTAATCTACTTCATTCTGATATCTGTGCATTTCTGGGGGGAGGAATTTAAATCTGCCTAGGGGTTGGGGGGCAAAAGGATAATAAAATGTGCCCCAGAAAAAAGTCATCTTCCAAAGAGGGATACACACAAAAAATTCCAAGTAAGTGCAGATACAGTATAAGGTATTAATTTACAGGTGAAACTCGAATAATTAGAATATCGTGAAAAAGTAATTGCAGTAAGTGCTGCAAAAGGGGCCCTAACCAAGTACTGAGTACATATGCATGCTTGTACTTTTCAGAGGTCCGATATTGTTCTATGTACAATCCTTGTTTTATTGATTGCATGTAATAATCTACTTTTTTGAGGTTGTGGATTTGGGGTTCTTGGGGTTTTCATGAGCTGTAAACCATAATCATCACAATTATGACAAATCACGGCTTGAATTATCTTGCTTTGCATGTAATGAGTCTATCTCATATATTAGTTTCACCTTTTAAGTTGCATTAGTGAAATAAATGAACTTTGCACGATATTCTAATTATTCGAGTTTCACCTGTACCTCTTCCTGTGCTATAATAGTAGGTGTAGGCTTTAACGCTTTCGCTGCCAGAGTGTTTTTTGCACACGTTATAATCCACATTTTAGTTAAATAACTTACAATTTCCTAAAAAGCAAAGACCCTGTAGAATAAAATGGTGGCAGTTGCAAATTTTTATGTAAACTAAAGTTTGCTTAACTCTTTATCACAACCAAAATTTCAGTAAAAACTACACTTAAGTTAATTTTAGTGCACAAAAACACAATATAATACCCAATTTGTTGGTGAAACATAAAATATGAGGTTGTGCCAAGTAAATAGATACCCAACATGCCTAGCTTAAAAATTGTGTGTGCCCATGTAACAGCGAAAAAATATGGTACCCTAAATTGTTCATAGGCGGCACTTTAAAATCCTGTACAGGCCATTAGTTTAGAGTTACAATAAATATTGGACCAAGAATTATTGCTCTCCCTCTGGTGAATGTGATGATACCTAACATGTGGGGTGCAGTCATCGTTTGTTTTCATATGTAGGTGCACCCGACGTGTGTTTGCATTAGTATACGTGTGTTCATGGGGATGGGCAACTTTAAAAAATGTTGGTGATATTTTAAAATTTCTAAAATGTATTTTACTTTATTTTTTAAACATTTTTTTTTACTTAATTGCTATCACATAGGGGGGCTCACAAGCCCCCTATGTGATAGCATATTGGTAGTGACAGGTACTCTTTAAGGTGACATTAGTTGACACAATTCCAAAGAACTAATATGTTAAAAGAAATTACATATACTTTTTATGCAGCCTGACTGTACAACAATGATCAAAAAACATGGCTTCAGTTGGACTTTATTTTTGCCCTATTGAACCCAGACGTTGAGAATTTGCTGCTTTTTCAGCTATTATGAAACCGCAAACCCCAGCATACCCAGCACTCTTTTCTAATCATTAATGATTTTTTTTTCTAGAAATGGCATGTAACATATTTTACTCAGAAAGCTCACACAGGGAAACACATCTGTGGCTGGCATGAGCTCATAGAAAGATCAGGCCATTTAGACCAGAAAGAAGATTTCAAAAGCATTTTACAAAAAAGTGACTATCTGAGGTCACTGAAATGTTTCCTAGTTTGAAAGAATACATTTTTTTTTTTATTCTGCAGCTGTCTGGTGAACAAGGATGTTTGATTGGCAGTGGCAGCTTTTTAATGACTGTAATTACAAAGAATAACAAACGTGTGGCCAGTCTGCTCTATGTAACCATCTGTGGCCTGCGAGAACTTGCCAGCTAAGTTGCTGGCCTAGACACAGGCCGACAAGAAGCAGGTTAATTGGCATCAACACGTTCCTGTAAACACTTGTTAAGGAGAGTGAAAGATGTTGTGGTGAGAAGAGAACTGGGCAGGGGCGTCAAAGTGGAAAGTGGATCTACAAGAAAAGAGAAAAGTTTAAGAAAAATGCTGCGTCCTGTGGACTATATTTCAGCTCTGCCAATTGTGTAGGTAGTGTGCATTGTACAGGGCCTGAGCTACACCAGCCCTCACAAGTAGGGTTGCCACCCGTCCGGTTTTCAACCGGACAGTCCGGGTTTGGCGTCTTGTGTACGGGTGTCCAGCCAGCGGGCACCCGTACACAAGACACTCTGCTGACACCGGCACTTTACATTTTCTCGCAGATGCGGCTGCGAGGTCCTTGGTAAGTGCGATCCACGGCAGCCGCATCTGCCTGAAACCGGATCTTCCTCTGAGCTGCGGGCAGCCTGTGTCTGTTTACAGGTGCCCGCAGCTCAGAGGAAGAGTCGGGTGGCAAATCGGCAGCAGCAGCGTCAGCCTGCAGAGACTCCCTGGAGGGCAGAGCCCAGGATTCCAATACAGCAGCAATGGACGGCTGGCCCCGCCCACTAAGGGGATGCTGCCGGGATGAAGTCACATGGGTGATAGCCACGCCCCCTAGAGTGACAAGCCAACACACAGGAGATCCCAGGGTGCTGACAACTCTGCAGCGTTGTGGTATGTATACTGAAGAAATTCAAAACTTAAATGTCATCATCTGAGGACACATAGACCTGTAGCAGTTATTTATGTATAAATAAGTGTGTCTGCAGTGTATATTCGTGTAGATGGGGTCATTAATAAGTAATGTGATTTAAAGAGACCCTTTCACCTCATGCATATCTCAAAACTTTAAAAAAAAAAATTTTGAATAAAGTAGGTAAGGGATAAAAATATTTATTGGTGTTTTTTGCCATTCTGCATCCCACTCGAGACTTCTCTTTGCTTCCTGTCATGTAAGGGTTTCACTTGAAGAAAAGGTGGCAACCCTACTCACAAGTTAAATGGAATAAAAAGAGTATTGTTAGCAAGTGTCTGAGAAAAGAGGAGAGAATTATGTCAGTATGTGTTGTCATAAAGCAGCCAGTTGGTTCCTTCTCCCCTAAAGCAATCCTTCCAACGGTCCCTCATTTGGAACCAAACCCCTCTGTCCCTCTTTCCTACACAGTTGTCCATCTTTTTGATCTGATGTACAAATATATATATGAAAATATTCTATTTAACAACCAAAAGTGTTATTCTGCACTGAAACCTTTTCTTATCACATAATTATCTTTTAAAACGCCAGTATAAAGGAAAATACTGATTTAAAAAAGCAATTCTTGGTTTTTCTTATCATTTTTGGCATATAAATTCTTAATGGTCCACATAACTAGGGGCATGGCAGGGGTGTGCCCATTGCCTAAATACATTGTGCTAGACAGTGTCCTTCTCATCTCAGAAATGTGGGAGGTATGCATAATGGAGTATCTAATTCTTTTATACTACACAAACTGTGTGAAACACTCCTTTCGTCACATAATAATACATAACTGGACCTTTACAAAATGGTGTCCCTAGCAGAATATCAGCAACTCCCTTGTATTTCCTAATTATCAGTAAATTCAAGCATGTAGTGTGACTTACATTAATAACATTTCCAGTACATTTAAGGATATACTGTATGTAGGGATCATACTTATCCAGTACTAACTTGGCCATTAAAATGGTCAGCCCAATCCAAACTGATATTTCTGGAGAAATGCTGTAGAGTTTAAGCACAACCTCAGCTTTTATTCCCTAACCCCTTTATATGATAGAATATTAGCATCCTTTGCAAAACGTATCATGTTTTCCCCACTGTGTTCCCCATATATTTTATTGTAATGAATAAAATTGAAATTCCGTTTTTTGCAAAAGGGATGTCAGATGCCTGCAGATGCAGCCAAAGGTACAGTGAGGGCAAGGGGGGCCAAAAGCAAGAGGGTAACCCAAGAAGCAAGGGGGAGCCCAAGGAGCAAAAAGGAGGGGACCCCGAGGATAAAGGAAGCTGACAAGGAAGCACTGAACTGTGGCCAGAAAAACTTGACCACCGGAAGCATCAAACAGCTGTATCATACAACCCTGACACAAGGGAACACCCGCTTATGGAGGATTCCCCCCCGTCCAAAGAGTTTTCCCCCTAGAGAAGCTCAACCAGGGTGGGAAAGCACACATGGAGGTGTCCGGAGTGGGGGCAGAAAGGGAACACTGTGTAAGGGTAACCTTCATTTTATTGGGGTCCCGGGGGTGGAGTTGACCCATTAGTAAGACACTAATAGTAAGACACTAATCATGTGACTTTAGCAAGTAGACCTTCCCACTTAGCACAGTGTTGTTTTAAACGTAATAGCAAATAGGTAGGAGTCTGCAATGAAATTTGCTAAAATACTTGCAAAAAATAGAGTTTCATTTTACAGCTATGGGTCTATGATATTACAGGCATAGCAATGGTTACATTTATATGGTCATTCCCTCCAGTTGTCTTATGAATTGTAACACCATATCACCTTACTAACATGTATTTACTTCTATGATGTTCAGTTCCATCTAGTGGTCATAATGCAATAATTTCCCCATTCACCCTCTTCTGTATGATATAACCTATTGAAGAACATTGAACAAGAAGAGAAATTACACTAAGAACATTCATTCTTGGCCCATTCTAACACCACCTGGTTAACTTGCATAGAATATACCTGCAGTTTTGTCGGATGAATAAACTATGCAAATGTTTATAAATAGACCTCGTGTTTATTGCATACCCTAATGTAAAGTACTATGTAGTATTATGGTGAGACTGTATATAAAAGCATTTATGACAATAATAATATTAAGAATAATAGGAATGTAAAAGAAATATACTGATCTTATATCAAACTAAAAGCCAGCTTATGGCCTCGGCTTTGTGAGCAAACCTCAAGTCAAACTGACAATATGCGTTGCCGAAATATGAACAATTGCCTTTTAAGTCTAGAGATCTTGGCATGAAACCCAGAGGGACATCATCAAGCACTGAGTGATGTAAACACTTTAGTGTATACACACCAGTCTGGGTTATATACACACCGTGTCAAAGCAACTTATACCATCAGTTTTGTGCCATGTAACTGTGAAGTCTATCACTATTTTGGGGCAAACTGCAAGCCCACTATAGTATGAAATGCCGGGGTAATTGGTGACACCATGACCTGGGTTTACCTCTGGAAGCCATTAACCTGAAAGCACATATCACCTAGTGCACTGCTTTCTTCTGTACTTTCTTCTGTTCATTTACTAGAGGATTATAGTTTTCACCTGAACAAGTGAACTTGAGTTCATTTTAATCACCAAGTCATATCTGGTGAAGTTAATAAAAATAAGAATTTCCTTGCCATGGGATTAGATGATTGAAGAAGGCAGCACAGGCGGTATAGTGCGTTGCCATTCATTTGAAAGGCACCCGAAATATACCTCCAGCCCACAATGCGATCAATCGCACTGCAATGTGTGGTACTGCAATACCGTGCGTTGCGTTGCAATTAAAAAAGGAGCGAATCAGAGAAAAAAACTACAAATGTATGATCAGCTTTAGCCTAGGTAACGGTTTTATTGTCCAGATGACGCCATACAAATGTGTGCAGTTTTAGTAAGCATTTTGTGCATCTTTCTGGGGGCAGTGGTGTCGCTGACAGTGAAGCTATATAGTTATAGTTTTACTGCCGTGGAAAAACCATGCAACCAACCCTTACTGACGTCTACCATTATTAGTGCCTGTTTACACCGTAGTGTTGTGTTAATCGCATGATATTGTGCATTTATTGCACATTTTCACCTAGTCCACTTAGCATGCGTTATTGTGCCCTAGGTGCGTTGTGGTGCCATTCATTTGAATGGCACCTCCCAGTGGCTTTGTATTGCAGCCAGGAGCGGCCTGACAACACATGGGGCCCCCAGGGAATACAAGATTATGGGGCCCCCTTGTGCTCCGACCATATACAAGCCCCACCTGCATAAACATTCTTGTGTTTAATTATTTCTCCACACTATATTCTAAATAGTGGGCCAATTCACTAAAAGATTAATTGCCAGGGAATTGGTAGGACAATTTAGGCGATTTGGAAAGTGAGCCAAATGGCACAATGCACGGCAGACCTCAGACCAGCACAAATACACGACAGACCTCAGACCAGCATTAATGCACTGCATACCTCAGACCAGAACCATTACATGGCAGCCCTCAGACTAGCACCAATACACAGCAGACCTCAGACCAGAACCAATATATGGCAGACCTCAGACCAGCACCAATACATGACAGACCTCAGACCAGCACCCATACATGACAGACATCAGACCAGCACCAATACATGACAGACCTCAGACCAGCACCAATACATGACAGACCTCAGACCAGCACCCATACATGACAGACATCAGACCAGCACCAATACATGACAGACCTCAGACCAGCACCAATACATGACAGACCTCAGACCAGCACCAATACATGACAGACCTCAGACCAGCACCAATACATGACAGACCTCAGACCAGCACCAATACATGATTCATTTGAATGGCACCTCCCAGTGGCTTTGTATTGCAGCCAGGAGCGGCCTGACAACACATGGGGCCCCCAGGGAATACAAGATTATGGGGCCCCCTTGTGCTCCGACCATATACAAGCCCCACCTGCATAAACATTCTTGTGTTTAATTATTTCTCCACACTATATTCTAAATAGTGGGCCAATTCACTAAAAGATTAATTGCCAGGGAATTGGTAGGACAATTTAGGCGATTTGGAAAGTGAGCCAAATGGCACAATGCACGGCAGACCTCAGACCAGCACAAATACACGACAGACCTCAGACCAGCATTAATGCACTGCATACCTCAGACCAGAACCATTACATGGCAGCCCTCAGACTAGCACCAATACACAGCAGACCTCAGACCAGAACCAATATATGGCAGACCTCAGACCAGCACCAATACATGACAGACCTCAGACCAGCACCAATACATGACAGACCTCAGCCACCAATACATGACAGACCTCAGACCAGCACCAATACATGGCAGATCTTAGACCAGC